CGGCCAGCCCTCCAGCTACGCTGGGACCAGTGCACCCCCACGAATCTTGTGCTCCTGCTGTTCTCGGAACTTAGGATGTTGACATCTCTGCTTAGGAAAATCCTTCCCCTGAAGTCTCAGACTCAGTGATTCCAACTCTGTGGAGGTTTCTCTCTACCCCAACTCTTGCCAAATAACCACACCATCCAAGCCACCTGGCTGCCCAGGGGCAGCGCCTGCTCTGGCTTTCGGCACATTGGCAGCATCCTCTCTTCCAAGCCTCTATGCTCTGGGCTGTGAAGCCAGGTGACAGACGTCTTCTTGTTCTTGAGGTCCCTGGGGCCCGGCATGCAGGAGGCCCTCGACCACTAGGGTGGCACGATGGGCTCTTAGTGTCTGAGGATGGACTGGGATGGCCTTACTCGCTCAGACGGCTTGCTGAGGCTCAGAGCTAGCTGGGAAAGGACCCTCGCCAGGGGCCCCTGCACCTCCACACTCCAGGGTTATGATTCATGTGCCTGAGACTCTTTCCTGGATAGTCAGCTCCCCAGGGCTGCGTCTCTGCTACACTGTGTCTTCTGCCTTACTGGCCTGTGGCCTGATGCTCTGAGCAAACAAGCTCACCCACCCTGGGTTCTGGCGGGGGAGCCCTCCACTCTCCTCTCATGGAGCCTCCATCTTTCGGGAAGGGAAGTGGGGACCTGGCAACTCACGCAGGACAGTCCCCTGAAGAGCAAGGGTTGAAACCTGAGCCTTGGGCCAGCGGCTCTTAAACCCTCGGCTCATCGGCACCATGTAGAGGAGTCAAGGTAGACTGATCCGGACCCCAAACCCAGGGGAGTGGGACTTAGCTCCCCAGATGATTCTGATGCCTCCTGCCCAGACAGCTGTGAGCAGCTTTGCTGGAGACTTGGTTCCCTGGCCTCTTGCTGGAGGGGGGAACCCTCGGGGCCTGCCTGGCCTCTGCCCTCCTGGCCGGCTCTGGACTTCTCCCTGACCCGCCTTGGACACTCCCAGCGTATTGCCCTTCCCCAGCTCATGGGAAGGGCTCTCCACTCAACTTACGAGTCAAGGTGTGTATGGGGGGCATAGGCCCTCCCCCCTCCTACGTGGCATGCTCAGAAGGTGCCTGATGTTACTGGGAAAAACCTGGTCTCAGTTAGTCTGGGCCCCTGGAGTCATGGACGCCCTGCCCCCTGCATTCCCCACACAGAAAACAGCATCCGTGGGCGGGAGGAGGGGAAGAGGCCTGGCTGGGTTGCAGGGCATCATCACTTCTCCTCTGACTTCCTACCTTCTCCCTCCTGGGGATCCTGGTTCATAAACAAGCCCTGTTGGAAGCTGGGTCACTAGGGGCCGGGCCAGCCGCCACCTACTCGGCATGAGTCACAAATGCCCCTCCTGTCACACTGGGATTCCTTCCTGGCTCAGGATGGCTCAGGGCCAGGCTTCCCACTCACTTCTAACAATGACGACAAACAGTAGTAATGGCAACAGCTGACACTGGAGGGCCCCCAGATGGCTCCACGGCCCCCACCACAGTTTACATGAGGAAACAAGTCTGGATGGGTAAAGCGATGACTTGTCCCAGGTCACAAGAGGTGTGGTGGCGCTGTGGATGCTGACAGTCTCTCCTTGACCAAACTCCAGCAGGCTCCACTGAGCTGTTTTCCAACTAGGCCTCATCCTTGGGCATGTCCTCAAAGGCCCAATTTTAGCAAGAATCCCCCACCCTGGACATCTGATCACCACGGACATCTCATTCAATTCCTCCACCATCTCTGCCCCCGGGGGATGTCTAGTCACCTGGCCTGCCTTCAGCTAGAATCCCATCAGGTCCATGTCACCTGAATCCCCCTCACCCCTGATGTTTCCTCTTAGGAATTTTCCATCTGCCGACCCCTCCCCCTGCTCCTTGGCTATAAATCCCCACTTTTCCTTGTGGTATTCAGAGTTGAGCCCCATCTCTCTCCCCACTGCAGTGGTGCCTACACCTATCTAGACAGTCCCTGGGTCTGGGGGTGGGAACAGGGAGTGACTGTAAATGGGAATGAGGGAATTGTTTTGGGTGATGCAAATATTCTAAAACTGGACTGCTGGTGATAAATAAAGTCTACATTTTAAATAAAGTCTGCCTTGCTGTTTCGACAAGTGTCACGAGTTATTTCTTTTTAGCCGGGTCCACGTCCTCTACTCCCTCCCATCTTACACCTGGGTCCTCCTAAAAGGAACGGCAGGGAGAGCTCTCAGGAGGAGGATCCCTCCGAGCACAACGGCATAAAAGCAGAACGGAGCTGAGAACAGTCAGCAAGTCGAAGACGCACCTTGTCGCCCCCCACAACCTTACTGCTCTCTTCTTCCTGGGATGGGGCAGGGTGCTCGCCTGACTGTCTGGGAGCACAGGTTGTGTGCATCAAGAAATATTTTGTTTGCATCCAGTAGTATTGTGGCAAAGGATTTCCAAAGAGGGCTTGATTCAATAAGAGGAAGATCAGTATTGGTTCTTTTTTCTTTCCCACTGAGACCCCCAGTTACCCAGCGACAGTGCTGAGGCCCTGGTTCAAATCTCGCCATCTTCGGGACTCTAGTGGTGGAGGATCTAGATGATTTGAGTCAAAGATCAGTGGAATCTGAACTGAACAAAAGAGCCAGGCACCTAGCCCTCTGGCGTCCTCAGCTCACCGTGGGCCTCTCCAAGATTTGGGTCAGGGCCTGGTGTGGTGAGGGATGCGCGGGATGGGAGCAGATGCAAACATGGAGGGGGAGGGAGGAGGAGCAGAGGGAGAGCTGTAGTTGTCCAGCAGAGTAGACGGTAAAGACTGAACGGGCCTGAACTACACTGTCACCCAGGAGGTGCCAAAACATGTCGGTTCTCAAAGGAGTCCAGCACCAGGACGCTCACAGAACAGCAAAATCTGGAAACCACTTCAGCGTCCATCAAGAGCTGAACAGCCCATCCAGGCGGTCGACTCACTCCACGGGATTCCCCGTAAAGCCAAGAGGGTGAACGAGATCTGTGTGGAAATGCGGGGCTGGATTTCAAGGACATTGTGGAGAATCAACGCACGAGTTGTAGAGTGCTAAGTATCCACGTCACGCGTGCGAGCCACCCCCGTGCAATGCCCCATCTGTCACAGTGGGACCCACGCCAAGCTCTCATGGGGTAACTCTGGTGGAGAGCGGACCTGGCTGGTCACAGATTCTGGTCAGGACCCCAGAAGTGGGATGACTGATAGATGCTAGCTTGCATTTCTGCTTCCTCCACCCGGAAGCCCTGCTCTACCAAGACCCTACGACTGTCTGATGGAATGTGGAGCTGATGGGGAGCAAGGAGGAACCAGCCCCTCCTCACCTGCGAGCTAAGCCACAGGAAGGACGCAGCTCTAGGACATCTGCCGAGTGGCCCCGGACAGGGAGTAGCCTTCAGAGACCATCCTCATTGGAGAGAGGCCGAGGATCCTGCCCTCCCTGTGCTGGGAAAGGCTGCTGCACTGCTCCCCGACATGCACTCTAAACCTCAGTGGACTTGCTGAAGTGTCACCCTGGGCTGACGTCCCCTACCCCCTGGGTACCCCCTACCTCAGAGGCCCAGCCCTAAGTCCTGCCTGTGGGGTTGACCGAGGCCTTGGGCCTGCTCCCCTAGGAAGGTATGTGGCGTGGAAGATTTCATCGGCTTCCTCTCCCTGTGTCTTTGTAAGGCAGAAGGGCCCCCCCATCTCTGGGTGGTGTCTGCAGGTGGGTGGGCCTGGGGACAGGAACACGGCAGTCACATGAGCATTTCTGCTTTTAGACTTGGTCCCTGGAGGCCCTGAGCCATTGAGTTTCCTAACAAGCTTCCAAGGTGGGAAAACGGGCAGCGTGTATCTCCCGAGAACCTGGTGAATGAGAGTGGGGTGTGGAGCTGCCACTAAGTAAGGACTTGCTGGTCTGAATGATGAGCATGTGGGCCCTCAGCAGCAAAGACAATGAATGAGTCCGGGGCGACTCAGCCTCTCTCTCCATCATTCCTGTAATGCAGTATTTCACCACAAAAGGAGTTTTACTTCCTGCCCTTAGGGAAGGGAGGTGGGGCTTCTTGGAGAGCCCTGTCCTTCCACAGCCACCTGGAACACCCAACCCACTCTCCCTGGAGGCCTCATCCGAGGGTCCAAGGGTACCAAGTGGGTTGCAGGGGTGGGGGGCAGTGCCCTCCTCCAGGGGAGGACGGGGAGGAACCACTTAGCTGGCTCTGGCAAGATGTTCTGCAAGGGAAGTGAATAGACATTAGGGCTTTCTCCCATCAGGGTACAGAACTGTGCAGGTGAGGCTTCAAGAAACACAGCAGGGGGCGCAGCTCCTATCTACCAAGAAGTGAGAAAACTGGTGGTGGGCTTCCAGGAGCTGGGTAAGCTTCTGCAGGACTGAGGGCCTGGATGGTTTGCCCTGAGGACCTGGGGACCCCTTGCTGGTCCTGTATGGGCACTTACTCTTGGCCCACTGGGGGCTTCTATGCCAACTCTTGGGAGGACCTTTGCCCACCCCATTTAGGGATGCAGCTGTGCCCCCTGGAACCTGGGTCTAGAAGCCAGAGAGGGGATGTCACGTGGGTTGACTCTGAGACTCTTGTGCTCCTCCAAGAAGAGGTGGCCTCATAACCACCTCCCCGTTTTGCCTTTGGGCTCTCTTAAGGCTAAGGAGGAACTGAGGCCCCGGCTGGAAAAACAAGTTGAACTGAAACTCCTTTGGGAACAAGATGGGGCATAACAGACACTCAGACAGACAGACAGAGGGGGCAGGAAAGGACCTGTGAAGGCACCAGCCCAAGCCTCTGACAGTGGATATTTCAGAGATGGGCCTGCCTCACTCTGCAAGCCCAGGCGCACCCCACCCAGAGCCAGGCCACCTCAGTGTCCCTGACTGTGGAATGGGGAAAGAACATGCAGCATTTGGAGGTGGGGTGTGAGCGGGTCCAGGGGCAGATGCGTGACGATGTCTGTGTGTGTGGGGGGGGGTTGGGGGGGACAGGAGGGTGGCAGCCTTACCTGGACCTGGCCCTTCCCCATGATCCTATCTGTGCTCTCGCCGTCCTCCTTGGCGATCTTTGTTTTGTTGTAACACTTTTCGTAGCATAGTATCCTCAAGGTCTGGGAGCCTTCCAGCTCGATCTCAAACTCCTGCAGCCCCAAGAAAAGAGGAAAGTCCCCAGTTAACAGGTCCAAGTGTGTGGTGGTCAGTACTACAGGCCCGAGAGGCCCTCCGAGCCATGCCTCCTCAACAGACAGCTTCCTTGCTGCCCAGGAGGACCGTCCTCACTTTAGTCCTGGGACACAGACCCCCAGAAGCTACTTCCCTGTGAGCACCACATTGTGGCTCAGTCTGGACGCTTCTGGAAGCTCTGAATGTCTCTCAATCCTAATCCAAACTCCTTAAGCCAGCATCTCAGAGGGCGGTCCCTAGGCCACCTGCATCAGAATTTAGGGGTGCTGGTTACAAACGCAGATATTCTATGGACTTGGGGTGATAATGATGTGTCACTTTCGGTGATAATGTAGTTCACTGATTACAAGAAACACCTCACTCTGGCGCGTGGATAGTGGGGGAGGCTGCAGCAGGAGGCAGGGGATACAGGGGAAATCTCTGTCTTTTCTGCTCAATCTTGCTGTGGACTTAAAGCTGCTCTAAAAATAAAGTCTATCTGAAAGGGAAAAAAATCGATCTGGGGAGGTGATACAGGAGAGAGAGGGCGCGAGGAGGAAAGCACTGCTTCTGTAGGCTTTTGAGGTCTGCTGTGCAGTGTTTGTTAACTTTCTCCTCCATCGCCCTATGGTGTTGTCAGGAAATTCTGCATTTCACACCAATGCTTTTGCAGGCATGGGTTCTTGGTGGGGAAATGGAGGAGGGTGAAGGGAAAAAAACAGCAGATATTTCTGAGCCTGAATCGAGGTGGGAAGGCTATGTGTGCCAGGAACATGTAAGACCCCTGGACAATCCCTACGTACAGCTAGGGTGGCTGCCAGATGACCTGCTGCTCGGGATCCCTCCGTGCCTCGGTTTCTTGAGCCTCCACTGCTGGCTCACACCTGAACCCTTTGCATACCGTCTAGACCCCCTTTCTCACTGCCTCTGTGGAGTCAGGCCCTCTTGCTCTCTGCAAAGCCTTCTTCTGTGGCTCTTTCTGGCTCTGATCCCTCCTTGTCACAGCAGCCATCAGCCCTTTCTGCAGAGACGCCCAGGGCTGTAACGACCAGGTAATTCTATCGGCTCCCCGTGCCCCAGTCTTACTGAGGCAGTAAGTCTAACAACCAGAGTAGCAGACGCCAAGGAAGGAGACCCAGGCTCCAGCCCCGCTGCTCCATTAGCCACATGATCCAGGGTGGACCAGGCAGACCGCTGGGTCATAGCTTCCTCCTCTGCGGGGGAGCAGGCAGCTCTCTGAAGCCCAGCGACTTCCACTCGCATCCTCAAGCATGACGCCTTTGAGGGCCGCAGCTGTCCCAGGAGGTGGGAGATGGCATTCTCCCGGATCTGGGGGCTTCATCAGTACTAGCCGCTCTGCAGTCATTCCTCCACTCCCGAAGGCTCAAGGCAAGACAGCAAGTGGGTCACAGAACAGCTCTCCAAGATGGAGGAAAAGAGAGCAGCAGACTACACAGACCCAACACCCCGGGAGAAGCAAAAGGACCCTTCAGCCCAGCGAGGCCCAGGGAGCGGGGCTGTGGTCCCTACTCCAGGCCCCACATCCAGAGAAGTGCGAGAGCCCCAGGCTTCCAGAAACTGAGAGGGCAAGCTCATTCTAACTTCTGAGGAAAAACACTAAGGAAACCTACTAAGTAAACACCAAGCTCTCCAGCAAAATAGGCCGTTTCTTGGTGATGGGGAGGGAAGGGGTAGGATTCTCAGGAACACAGAGATAAAATCTCTTAGACTCGTACCCCCGCCCCCTGGGGATTCCCGGAAAGCTGGCAGCGTCGCTTGCAAGGGAAACCATGAGGGATCAGACACCCCATGGACCATATCCTGGCCAGACTCGCCAGGAAGCAGGGCCTCACCTCGTTCCAGCTCGGCTCAGCCGTGTCCCTGTAAACACGTGTCTTGGCTTTATTCACAAAATACCCAAAGGAATCCACTTCCAGGGTGCAGTACAGATCTGCAGAGGGCGACAGGAGAGGGTGACCATGCTTTCCACATTACCTGAATTTTCTATAAGAGCAGGTGTTATTTTCAAAACCAGAAAAAATGGTGTCAGTTTTCTTTTTTAAATAAGACACCAAACCACCAGCCAGCACGAACACCAGCCCTCACACAGTGACCCTGCTCAGTAGCGCAGCTGGGAACCAGCACCTCATAGAACATTCACTCAGTTGGTCACTAGGCAAAGCCTGGCTAATGCCCTCATGCCAGCAGGACCCTACAGCTGGTGGGCTAGGCAAAGGTGAATGCGCCATCACCACGAGGGGACAAGTGCCCCACAGAGAAGGGCAGAGGGCCAGGAGAGGCGCCTACAAGCTGTGCAGACCTCACTATGAATTTTACCAGGTGAAGAGTTGGGGCAAAGGGTGCTGCAGGCCAGCACGGGGAACTGAAGGCAGCTCAGTGCTGTGGGAGGGTCATGGATACAGAGGGAGAGAAGGGGGCTGAGGCCTGGCAGTAGAGACCAGGGAGGAGGCCACTGCCGGGGGTGGATGGAGGCTGTGGCAGGCGGCCAGAGATGATAAACTCCACTGACGGAGTACGGCACCTCACTGATAGGACCGGTGAACAGGATGGCGGTTTCTGGCCTGGCTACAGGGGGAGGGTGGCGCTCCTCAGTGGGGCAGGACATAAAATAAGAGGAATGAGTTTGGGGGCCACAAGTGATAGGTTCAGGTTCAGTTTGGGAATGTGGAGTTTAGAGTGGGATGTTGAGGAGACAGACAGCAAGGTAAGAGAGGGAGGCCAGCCGAGAGGTGGGGATGGAGAGGCAGTTCTGGCGTCATCTGCGTTGCTGATGGGAAGCCCCCCAGGAGCAGGAAGGAGGGAGTTTATGCAGTGATGGAGGAAGGCCCAGATGGAACCCCAGAAACACCAGCATTTATGGGCAGCCCGAGAGACAGGGGCCCAGGGGAACCGTTATCCACGTGCTACAGCTTTACGGAAGCATAATTTGCATACCATACCATCCTCCATTGTAAATTTGAGAATTTTTAGTAAATTTAAACACTTGTGCCAACAACCCCACCACCGTTTCAGGACACTGCCCTCTCCCCAAAAACTCCCCTTGGGTTCATTTGCAGTCAATCCTCCTCCCACTAGAGTCCCAGACAATCACCAATAGGTTTTTTATCTCTGTATTTTGCCTTTTCTAGAAATTTCATACACATGGAATGATACAGTATGTAGTCTTTTGCATCTGGTGTCTTTTGTTTAGCTTTTTTTTAGGTTCATCCATGTTGTTGCCTGTAACAGGAGCTCATTCCTTTTTATTGCTGAGCAGTTTTCCACTGCATGGATGAACTGTTTTGTTTATCGTTCATTCCAAGTCTTTATGTGGACATATGTTTTCATTTCTCTAGAGTAAATACTTAAGAGCGGGGTTGCTGGGTCATACGGTAGGGGCATGTTTAACTTTTTAACAAACTGTGAAACTGTCTTCCAGGGTGGCTGCACCACTTTACATCTCCACCAGCTGAGTCTCAGGGTTCCAGTTTCTCCACATCCCTGTCAACATTTGTCACCGTGCATCTTTTTGATTATCACTGTCCAAGTGGGTATGAAGTGGTATCTCACTGTGGTTTTAGTTTACATTTCCCTACGAAGATGAACATCTTTTTATGTGCTCATTAGCTAATTGAATTTCTTTGGTGAAGTGTCTCCCCAAATCTCTTGCTCATTATTTTAAACTTGGTTGTCTTGTTGGGATTGAGTTGTAAGAGTTCTCTATATATTCTGGATACATGTCTCTTATCATATATATATATAGATATATATATATGGTTTGTAAACATCTCCTATTCTGTGGCTTGTTGGGGACTTCCTGGTGTTTTGTAGCAACAGCAGGAAAGGTCAGTAGCACGGTACCTGCCCTATGTCCTTCTACGAGGGACCCTGAGAGCTTGTGTGGAGGGGCCATGCGGAGAGGTGCTGTGTGTGTTGCACCTGGACTGAAATATGACCAGCCCTCACTGCTCTGACAGCTCCGGTAGCTGGGAGGGGCCCCCTGGAGGGAAGGGAGGAAAAGAGCATTCGTCTAGCTCGTCAGAGCAGCCAAATCTACTGTGCTGATCGGGGTCAGGGTGCCGCTGCCCACAGCCCTCCAGGCTTCGAACGTAGGCTCCATTTAGTGTCTGTATCAAACGCCAGCCCCTGCGATTATAGGACCTGCCTGCAGGGGGCAGCTAACCGGCTCGCAGGACCTGAGACAGGCACCAGAAAGGGCAGGATCCACTGGGGAAAACAACTCCACACCTGGTGGATGTTGGAAGTCAACCTATGCTGGCACCTCGCAGGGATCAGGGGTCAAAGGCTCCTGATGGTAATTTAAGCCACGTCCTTCATTCCTCACATCCTGTGGCTCAGTGCCCTGCTGCCTTCTTCCCCAAACCAGCCACTTACTTGAACTCTGCTTAAAGCCAGTGGCAGAGTGGACGATGACATTCAGGAACCCATAGAGCCCAGGAGATTCATCATCTGTGCAAGAGACCAGAGAGGTGAGCATCTGTGCTCCTGGGAGAGGGAGGCAGAAGACAGGCTCTGCTTCAAAATCAGCCCTGCAGGGGGCACCGTGTGGCTGCCATTTGCTCAGCACGGGGCAAGGTGACGTCACGAGCCAGAAACACATCCATCGTGGCCTTTTTCTCGGGGACCTTAGGATTGAGATGGGCCCACAACACAGGCAGACCAGTCACTGAGACAACATGTGACAGGGTTCCCAGGACAGAAGAGGGGTCAGGGTAGCATGTGACACAGATGGTGTATGTGTGTGTGTGTGCGTGTGTGCATGTGTATACCTGTGTGACTGAGTGTGCACGAGTGTATGCAACAGTGAATGAAAAATGCAGCATGACCAAAGGTGTGGGCAGGAAGCACCTGGTTGAGGGGAGGGCTGGGAGGACAGGGGGGCTGAACCAGACCCAGAGCACAGGGCGTCTGAGGAGTGTCTTGTGACCAGGGATGGAAGTCATCAGTCTTCTCAACCACCCAGTGGTGGCCACCTGGGAAAGTCCACTCCTAACCCGTCCTGTTCACTTCTAACCTGTCCCATCCACTCCTGGGAGAGGCCACTCTTCACCCGTCCTGTCCACTCCCGGGAGAGGCCACTTCTAACCTGTCACGTCCACACCCGGGAGAGGCCACTCTTCACCCGTCCAGTCCACTCCTGGGAAAGGCCACTCCTAACCTGTCCCGTCCACTTCTGGGAGAGGCCAACAGGCCCTAAGCAGCACACACATTCCTTTGGAATAAAAACCCACTGGTCCCAAGGACAGTGCTAACAGCAGAAAGGGACAGCGGCCCTCTGGATGACAGCCCACCTTCCTTGTTGATGGTCAGTGGAATGCTGTGGACAGTCTGAAGTTTGACACACGAATTGGTCAGCATCTGCAGCTCCACAGACGTCAGGGAGAAGCTTCTGAAACCTGAAAGCGGGGAACACAGGTGCACCAACCGGCCAGTCGGCATGGCTCCTCGGACCTCCCAGGACACCCAGGGCGCGTTCTCTGACCCACTGGACCCTCACCCCACCCTGGTAAAGGAGCACAGCACAGGCTGTGATGGCTCAGGATGCGGCGATCTACTCCCTGGGGAGACGCTGGTAAGCCGCAGAGCAAGGTGTGGCCCCAAAGGGCCCAGGCTGGGCTCAGAGGGTGGGAGAAATCTTAGCATTGCTCTTACAAACAAAGGAGTCAGCCTGCCTCCTTAGCACAGCCACAAGGCAATTCTGAGGGCAACCTGGAGCATCTTCCTGTGGGGTCCCCCCAAACAGACCCCTGGCACAGCTCTGTCCCCTACTCTGCTAACACAGGCCCCTATCTCTCCACCAGGTGAGGAAAAGGGGCTTATTTCTGGGTACAGCACTGAGCAGGGAACAGATGCTACCACGCTGCAAATGGTTGGGTCCCTTGGTCATAACAGAAAACCCTGGCACACGGACAGGGCTGCAGACACCAGCCATCAGAGCTGCCAGGAGTGCCTCATCCCCCGGATGCAGGGGCACCTTGGGCGAAGGTGTGGTTCAGCACAGGCATGAATGACAAGCCTGGGGGGACGGGACCTCAGGACAGGACAGAGGCGTGTGGCGCCCCAGCCCACTTGGGATATGGTGCTCAGCCCAGCTCCCCCTGCAAGAGGAACAGGGCATACAGGGCGCATTTGGAAACCTCTTAGCAATGATGGCTTAGGAATCCCAAACCACACAGCTGAGGGGCAGGGGAGGGAACCAGGCAGCTGCAGCCCCAGGACTTGAACACTGCCAGGCAGGACAGGGGGCAGCTCTGAGCGGAGGAGAGGCAAAGAACCACTAACAGAGGGAGGCGCCCAGAGAATGGGCTGTACCAGAGGGGAGCAAGCACCCTGTCCTGAAAGCAGTCAAGGCTGGCCACTTGGACAAGGCAGTGGGGCCAGCAGAGTGTGGCTGCCCAGCCCAAGGATCCTTTGGATCAGCATCAGCTGGAAGTGAGGAAGGCCCAGGGGGCAGGCAAGGGGGGTGAGCTATGTGTGTGGTAGGCCCAAGGGGTGGAGGAGAGTGGCCCCAGGGGCAGGCTGGGAGCAGGCTAGGGAGGTCCAGGAGGCAGGCGAGGAATTCAGGGAAGGCCGGGGCGAAGGGCAGGGGTTCACAGGAGAGGTCAGAGGGCAGGTGGGGGGTGCACAGGAGACGCTAGGAGACGCGGGAAGCAGGGAGAGCAGAGGGCAGGAAGCCCTATCAGGACAGTTCCTCTCCAATTTCTTTTCTAAATTAGAGCTCCACGTACATCTCACTTGGATAAAAGAGTCCCACTGCTAGCCCCTTGGGGGAAAAAAGCTCTGAAACCACAGGAACTGATGACCGTCCAGCCCTTACGCTCCCAAGTGCAAGTCCTCTTCATGCAGAGGCCACTTACACTTCTTCTGCTGCTCCCGGATGTTCTCCCTCCACTCGGCACGCTCGTAGTCAGATGAAATCAGGAATGTGTAACTCTAGGGGTCAAGGAGAACATACCCGTTATTTCCACCCCAGACAAGCTGACACCCGGCAGGCCCAGGACGCTGTTCCCCGTCACCGTCCACTTCCGGTTCTGTGGCCCGCCCCTCCAGGGTATGACACCTCTGTGCTGCTGGCCAGGTGTGCTCACAGCATGGCCTGGTGCTTCAGGCACTCTCTGCCCTTTCTGCCACCTGGGCTTCAGGCCACAGCTCCTGTGCCCTGTGCAGGTCCGCCTCAGGCACAAGCCCCCTGCCTAGACTGCCTGGGTCAGGGGGTGACGTGTTGGGGCTTAGGGCCTCAGAGGAAGTTACCAGGTGGGATCTGCAGAGGTGAGGGCTGATGCCACCCGGCCACCTCCATCCAACCCACATGCCCTGAGCCATGACCCAGACACAGGGCTCCCGCACAGCCCAGCTGCACGCTGACACACACACACGCAGTGTGTGATACCCATCAGATGTGCGTGGGAGAGGCCCAGGCTACAGACGGCACCAGGATCCAGACTCATGAGAGGTCCCTGGAGAGCAGGCCCTTACCAAGGGCCAGGTCTGCACAAACCTGTGAGTCCTCCCACCCGCCCTATTTAGACCCCAGGGAGTCTGCCACCTCCCAGCTGTGGGGGTGGAGCCAGCTGCCACTCAACCTGGAGGCTACAGCCCGAAGCACCAGGCAGAGGGGCCCCTGTGCCTGTGTGACATTCTGGACAAGCCTCTTTCAGTGCAGCAACACCCTCCAGAGGACAAGGGCTGCCACTGCAAAGGCCACACAGTAGTGGGGGACCACAGCCACCACACGGGCAGGCTGGCAGGTCTCGGCTGTAGCACAGCAGGATTCCAGGTGGTTGGGAGCCGGGGGCCAGGATGGTCTGCCTGGGGGAGCTGAGGGAAGACTGCTGGTGGAGTGGGGGTGAGGGCACTCACCTTGCCATTACGGCTGTGCACCCTGAAGGCCATACTGGGGGACATGAGCAGGAGCAGCGACTCCTGCTCCGACAGCTTCTTCTTCAGCCTCTCGATGGCCTTGCTGCCCTTGTTTGCTCTCTGCAAGGAGAGGCCGCACGGTCACGTTTCCATTCCGGGGCCCAGTGCTACCTGTTCCCACTCGGCCTGTCCCCAGAGCCCTGGATGCACAGCCCGCAGAGGGCGGTGACCCCGTCTGGTGGTTCAGCATGGCACATGGCCTCGGTCAGCCACTGCTGGCCACAGGGTCAAGGCCCAGCGCAGGCTGCTAGACATGCTCAGTTAGCCTTTCTTGAAGCAATTAAGTCCTTCCTCTCATGAGGGCAGAGAGGAGAGACCTTTACAAACTTCCCTTCTTTCAATCTCTCTAAACTTGGACAATGTTCAGGGGCCCCTTATGACCCCGAGAGCCCCTTGTCTTGGATCCAACCACACGTCAGCAGCAGCCTCCAATAGTGTTTGTGAGGGTCCTTATGGAGGGCCAGACGCATCCCCAGGGCCTGCCTGCCCTGTGCCATGTGCCTCCCTCCTGCAACCCCTCCATCCCAGGGAGGAGATGGTGCCACCTGCTGCTAGACGAAGGGCACAATGGGGATGAGTGCAGTGAAAGCCCTGAGGATGCAGCCCTGGCTTCCCCTCTGCGTGGGTACACTGCCATGGAGGCCACAGGCCCATCCAGCTGAATAAACAACCTAGTGTCCATGCCGGTTTTGGGGCTCCCTGCACATTCTTGTTTGTTTTTTTTTGTTTTGTTTTTACTTTTATTTATTTATTTATTTAATTTCCCCCAAAGCCCCAGTAGATAGTTGCATGTTGTAGCTGCACATCCTTCTAGTTGCTGTACGTGGGACGCAGCCTCAGTATGGCCAGAGAAGCGGTGCGTCAGTGCGCGCCCGGGATCTGAACCCTGGCCGCCAGCATCGGAGCGCGCGCACTTAACCGCTAAGCCACGGGGCCGGCCCTCCCTGCACATTCTTTAACCTGCTGGTTTGAGGTGCAGTAGGCTGGGCAGGTGGGTGAGGGCTGAGGAGGACCCCTGTCCTGCTGCGCCCACCTCAGCCAGGAGTCCCTGGACCAAGACCCAACCTTCTAGGGACCCACCTGCTCCGGCCTGGGCTGACCCTACACAAGAGGGGCTCATCCTCACTGTTTCTAGTCTTCTAAACCTCTCCGGAAAGAACAAGCTGCCTGCCTGGGGCAGTCCAGAACACCTGGAGGGGCTGCACCCCTGCCAGGACTTACTGCCCATCAGGGCAGCCAGGCACCAACCCCACCTCACATCCTGGCTCCAAGCCTGACGAGGGTGCCCAGCGCTCTAGGGCTCACAGGGATCCCGAGACCAGAAGAGGGGCCAGATGCCCAGCAGAGCTCGCCTACTGGCCCATGTGTAAGGGGCTGCTGCCCACTTACTGCAGAGCCTGGCCTTGCTCCCTCCCAGCCAGCCCCACCTTCTCTCTCTGGATGTCACTCTTGATCTGCGAGATCTTGATCTTCATGGCTTCCAGCTCCTCGTCCAGCACCAGGGGGATGTTGGGTGCCGCCTCTGACTCGTCCACCGTCTGGAAGCTCAGATCCATGAGCGGGATATACCACTTGCAGTCATACTGCTGGGTTTTGCTAGGGGGAGAAGGAGCACATTGACGTGCCAACCGCCTTCCTTTGCTGACGTCACTGCTTTCAAAAGCCGGAGAACCCTAATGGCCATGCACAGCTTACCCGATCTTAAAACCCAGCTCGTGGTCCGTGTGACAGGCTGGCATAAGGCCACTAGCAGACCAGCCTCAGAGCACCCTGGGAACAAGTACTCCGCACACGTGACACAGGCCCAAGGGGTCTGGCAAGCCCTGATCCACCTTATTCTGTGGTGCCTTATTCTGTGGCTTCTGATGTGGGAGCATGTCAAGGCTGCCAAGGACAGTCAGGACAGGACTGCAGTCGTCCCCAGGGCTGCAGATCCACCCGGTTTAATCGCCTGCCTCGGCAAAAGGGGAAACCGAGGCTCTCTTCTGAGTTGACTAGTTAAACCTGCTCAGCATGGCAACGGGGCAGAATGGGGGAAGAGCCCAGTCCTGGCCCTTCCCAGTGCGACCTTCTTTTCTCCAGTCCAGCCTGTGCAACCTGGGTGATCTGATCCCTGGGAGGAGAGGTGTGGGGGGTCTGCAGGCCTATGCTGAGGATAACTTAGAAGCTATCACCAGGCTCAGGGAAACAAAGTGCAGTGATCATCTAGTGATGTCTGTCAAGGGTAGGGGAGGGGTGGATGCCCTCCATCCTCCCCATCAAACCCTCTGAACTGTACCAGACTCTCTAGCCCTCAACCTGTCTCTCACTTCCTGGATGGCTCATGACATGACAGTCCTCCAACAGTTTGTGAAGTCATAGGTTTCCCCTTCACCTGAGAAGCTAATAGCTGGGTCACCGACCCTGACCCAGAATGTCTCCAGATTGTTAATGACGACCTCTGACCTTGAGCCTAGGATCACGTCCAGCTGGAAACAGAATATAGCTTAAAGAGAGCAGCCTGGCAACATAGTTACTGACCTCTCCAGGCTCAAGTCGAATGGAAAAAAACCCTAGGCTTCCTCCATATACAAAACAGAGCTCATGTCCCCCGAGAGAAACTGTCCCCTCCCGGCGGGGCGAGGGCTGCGTGATCACTCACCCTCCGCTCTGCTTCTTGAGCTTGGTGCAGAGGAGCAGGTCAGTGAACAGGAAGACATGGCGCAGCTTGCGGGCCCCCTCCACCAGCTCCACCATGAAGCTGTCCTTTAGCAGCTGCCGGTGCTGAGGGGGGAGGGGAGCTCTCGTTAGGGCAGCGGTCCAGCTCGGCGGCACGGGCCTTCATCCCTCCACCTCCAACCCTCAGATCCACTTTCCAAGTATTCCCTCCATCTCATCTGCCCGCAAACACACACACCACAAGCATTCCTCTTTGTTCAACAAAGCTTCTGAGCCCCTCCTGTGTGCTTGGCCTGTGGAAGAGGGTGAATGGACGGGGTAGTGGCCATTGGCCTGGAGGCTGGGGAGGGCATGTTACAGCCAAGTCAATGGTCTGCTGTCAAAATGCTGGCGGGAGAACCCCTCTAAGCAGGGTGGCCTATGCCTTTCCAGGGCAAGCAACTGGAGTCCCAGAACGGACAAGAGGCCAGCCATGAAAAGGAGGGGACATTCCCATAGAGGGACCATCACAGCGCAGGCCCATGGCAAGAAGAGCTTGGCATTCCGGGGATGGAGGGGGTAGCCTGGTGACTGGAGAGAAGGTGGGCTGGAGCACTCCAAGAAGGGGGCAGCCCTGGCAATCACGGTAAGGTCTCGCCTGGTTCTTTTTTTTTTTTTTAAAGATTTTATTTATTTATTTTTCCCCCAAAGCCCCAGTACATAGTTGTCTGTCATAGCTGCACATCCTTCTAGTTGCTGTATGTGGGATGCGGCCTCAGCATGGCTGGAGGAGTGGTGCCTCGGTGCGCACCCGGGATCCGAACCCGGGCCGCCGGCAGCGGAGAGCACGCACTTAACCGCTAAGCCACGGGGCCGGCCCATGGTCTCGCCTGGTTCTGAAGGCAGCGGGAAGCCAGGCGGGGGGCCCATAGCTGGGACCCCATATCCTAGTCCTCCTGAGGCCAGTGCCCACTGATGAGCAGGGTTCCAGAAGGGGGTTACACCTCTGATGCCCACTTGGACACCTGTACCCTGAGGTAGGCAGCTTGAGCCAACAAGCTGACCCCAAGGCAGCCTTCCCAGGTCCACTGGACCCAGAATGAGCAGGGGAACGGGAGGCACCTGTGACTCTGCACCTGGGTGCTTCATCTGAAAGCCAACGGACGGTCCCGCTGGCTCGCACAGCTTCAGGGATTGCTCAATGGGCACAGGGAGGTAAGTTGGTAATTCATCTGACAAACAGGGTCTAGCACCTCATCCAGGTCGGATGTGCTATGATGAAGACACAGGGACAGAACAAGAGGCTAACATAGTAAGCCCTCCCCATACACGTTCCAGGTGTGCTGTACAAGCATGTGGCCTGACTATCTGATGTAATCCCCACAATACCCTGTGGGCAGGTCCACGTGCCCATTTCACAGATGAGAAACCTGAGCCTTAGAGAGGTCCACCACCTATCCCAGGCAGCACAGTGACTGAGCAAGCGGCAACGCTCAATGGTCTGCCCTCAGAGCTGACAAGCCCAGGAGAGAGAGACCAAGTGCTTAGTGGGCACCCAGCCAGCCTGGCCTCAAGGAAGGCCCCTAGAGAGGGTGATTCCCCGCCCCTCACTGTGATGGCCAGGGAAGGGTCCCAAGGGTCAGGTACATACCCTAGAGCAGGCAAAGACCCACAGCATCTCCCCAGTAGGACGCATGCTCATCCCCATCCTCTCATGTCACCAGCAGGTCCCTGTGCCTGGCTCTGCCGCCATCTGCAGCCTGAGAGTCTTCTCGGGGAGCCCCTGCCTCCCTGAACTCTCCCACACTCTCTGCAGGAGCTGGAGACAGCAGGGCCCCTCAGAAGCAAGCGCAGCCTGGGCCTGGCTTCTTAATACTCCTGGGTATGAAGGCTGCATGTCACCGTCATATGCAGCTCAGCTCACAATGGCTAACCAGCCTCTGGCTCAGGGGAACTGATGATTTAAATGAGAGCTGCTGGTGCCTATGAGACTAAAGGCTGGAAGGCTGCTGGCGTGCCAAGGCTGTGACTCATCACCACTCACCCTCAGCCCACCGCCTATGGGCAGATGGCTCACCTGGCATTGGCACCCACGGGAAAGTGTGTGCACCTGGAAATACCTGGCTGGAGACCCAGGGGCAGACCTGACTGCGTGGGGAGGCAGGTCCGGGAAGGGTCCTGGGACACTGAGGTCCTTGAGGAATGAATAGATGGATGTCTCTTCAGCAGGGACACGGCTGACGGTCTCCCAGCCCAGGAGGTGGAGACCAAGGGATCTTCTGTGAGGGGTGGAGACATGAGGAGACAGCCCTTCTTTCTCCAAAGAGGCTGAGTTTCTGGCCATCACCAGCAGAGGGCCCCGTATGCCCAGCTCAGAAGTGGACTCGTCCCTCTGTCGGTAGGTCAGAAATGCCCCAAGTCCCAGCCCTGACCACCCCCCAGCCCATAGCTGGCCCACCCTCTCTCCCTGCCAGGTCCTGCTGCTCACATTTTCATCTGAAGTCCCACCTCAGATGCCACTTTCATCCTCCACGAGGCCACCAAGTGTCACCCTGGCACTTGTGGCAGCCCACACACCTGCCCTGCCACGTTGAGAGAACACAGGGCTGACAGTGGGGAGCACGTGGCCCGCCCTGGGGCTGGGACTACAGCCCTGGGAGGCTCTGATGGGCGGACTCAGTCAACTGGCCTCTCTCCATGCACCCTTGCCTGTGCAAACCCTCATCTTTCTAAGAGATGCCCCAAAGCTGCAGGGGCCCTGACACTTCCTAGCCAGCCTCACTACCCCTGGGGTATCCCAACCATGCGAGCAGCACGTGAGTCAGTGCATGTCACCCACCAGCCCCTTGCAGTTTGGGTGGTGGACAGCAGTGGCTGTCCTCTGAGTGTAAGCCTCTTTCACCACGAGCTCCCCAGTCATGTCACAGTTGCCCTCCCTCCCGAGGAGGAGCTGAGCCTCACTGCTGAACCCCAGCCCACTCCAGGGTCTTGCTGCGTGCCCAAACAGAAACAGTCCAGCAAGTGGGCAGGAGGGGCCTCCCAGCCCCGGGAAAACAGGGCTCCCAACTATGACACTGGTAAATCCATGAGGCGAGCCTAGACCCTGGCAGAGGGGCTGGGTGTCACACTGTCTCCATCCACACCCTCCAGCCCCCTAGGCCTTGGTCTCAGACTCTCAAGCCTGGTGGTCCCACCTTGACCCACAGGCTAGGCCCTGACCCCTGGGCAGATGCTCCCTTCCTGGCTCAGGAGGCTGCCCAGCCGGGGCCTGGGATCAGCCCTACTCAGAGCCTAGCTTGAAGCCCCAGGAGGATCCTGCCACTGAAATAGCCCCCAATGAAAAACCAGCAACAAACCCATCTCTGTGCAGACACTGTTTCAGGAAAGAGGAGTGATCCAGAGGAGGAGGACAGGAGATGCAAGGAAGAGACAGCAGTGATGGAGGTCCAACAGCGAATCTGCGTTGAGGCCTCGTGAGGAGCCGCTCTGCCCTCTGAGCGAGGGGTCCAGACGGGCCGCTGGACCCTGTACCATCATCACCTGGGCCTCCTCTCTAGAACCTTGGCTCCTGCAGGGAAACCCTGCCAGCCTACAGGGGACCAGTGCACAGCCAGGAGGCCTGTGCCTGCCCAGGACAAGCCCCTCTCAGAAATGCTCACCAGCCCTGTGCCAGGGTCCTCAAAACCAGCACCAACTTCCGGTCCAGCCCACCCGTCAGGTCCTCTAGAGGACACAGGCAGGGGCAGGGCTCTGGCCACACCTGGCGCCCCAGGCTGTGGTCTAGAGATGGTGTGAGGTCACATGGTTGCAAAGGACTGTCCTTTGACTCAGCGTCTCACCCAAAGCAAGCACCCCTGTGTGCAGCTGTAGGAGAGAAAAGGGGCTGGGACCCCACTGGACCCCAGGACAGGGACAGCACCAGGCTTCTAGAGTGTCTGAGGGGCAGTGACTCAGAAGAGCCAGGTCCTCCTGGGACTGCAGGAGCGTGTGTGTAAGAGAGAGAATCTGTTTGTGCGTCTCCATATGTGAGTGTCCCTGTTGGTGTGCGGGTCCTGGTCTCTCCATGTCTGTCTGTGTCCCTGTGCCCATGTGTGGGCCCCCACGTGTATGTTCCTGGGTGTCTGTGTATATCCCTATGTGTATGTGTGTGTCCTTGTGTACATGTTCCCATGTGTGTTGTGGGGTGAAGTGGTGGTGATAGGAGAAAAAGCACCAGGTGGTGAGGCGACACTCCCTTTGGGGAGCCCCCCCACATCCCAGGTGGGGAACACCACTGCGTCCTCGAATAACCGATAACATCACCCGCCAGGACCCCCCAGAGAGTGAGGCATCTCAGGTCATCAGGCACCGCCATTGCCGGCAGCCCGCCCCTCCCTCTCCTCTCTCCATGGAGGTAACGCTGGCTCAGCCACTTCATTACTCTGAGCCTCAGTTTCCTTAAAGATAAGATGTGGATGGGGGCCAGCCTGGTGGCATAGTGGTTAAGTTCTGCGTTCTGCTTTCACGGCCCAGGGTTCACCAGTTCGGATCCCGTGCGCGGACCTACTCACCGCTCATTGAGCCATGCTGAGGCGGCAGCCCAGGCAGAAGAGCTACAACTCTGGTACACAACCGTGAACTGGGGCTTTGGGGAGAACAAAGCAAAAAGAGGAAGACTGGCAACAGATGTTAGCGCAGGGCCAATCTTCCTCAAAAAAATAAAAATAAAAATAAAAAGAGATGTAGATGGAAAGATCTGCCTGGTGGCATTTTTTTTTTTTTTTGTGAGGAAGATCAGCCCTGAGCTAACATCCATGCTAATCCTCCTCCTTTTGCTGAGAAAGACCGGCTCTGAGCTAACATCTATTGCCAATCCTCCTCCTTTTTTTCCCCTAGAGCCCCAGTAGATAGTTGTATGTCATAGTTGCCCATCCTTCTAGTTGCTGTATGTGGGACACGGCCTCAGCATGGCCAGAGAAGTGGTGCGTCCGTGCGCGCCCAGGATCCGAACCCGGGCCGCCAGCAGCGGAGTGCGCGCACTTAACCGCTAAGCCACGGGGCCGGCCCCTGGTGGTATTTTTCAGAGGATTAAATGGGCCTCACACGGGGCTATCGGCTACCATTTGCTGAGTTCCCTGTGGGCACAG